AATAGGCGGCAACAAAATGGGTCTTGAAAATCCTTAGGGACTAAAAGGGTGAACATTTTTTACGCTCTTCTAGTTTTCTGTATAGTTGGACAATGAATTGAAAAAATGTAGACAGTATTTTTACACAATGCTTACAGTTACATTGTTAACGTATAAACTATTGAAAATCAATAAATTGTCATCTGAAAATGCTTATACACTATAAGCTATATACTATATACTATTTTACAAAAAGAACAAAAGATTAATATTCTATAACAAATATCATAATAACTGTAAAGGTTAATTTGGTGTGTTAATACAGGAAGGAAATCTCAGATATGTATTATGTATAAGGAAAAGTTAATAATTGGATCTTCTCGCATGTTTATTTATTCATATATAAAACGAACTCAAAAATCATAAAATTAGGAATAAATATACCTTTAACATTAATAACTGCAGTGTTAAATACGTAATACAACGAGGTGACTACCTGAACCAAACCACTGAAATCATATCACGTAAGTTTAATATTAATGGTACTTGCAATAAGCTAATTTAAACACGTAAATAATTTAGATTTCAATTAGTTTTGTGTGCTGGATATTATATATTATATAGGCCGTAGCTGGTAATTGGCATTTTAAATTTAATCTCATGTACAATATTATATGGTCACATTAGATCAAGAATTTTCACCCGAATTAACCTATGGGACATTGGGACCCTGCAGACACCTTTAATAATCCAAAATGTATAAGCTAATAATACAACCCGAATGGTCTCGAGTGACTAAACAGTCAAATTAACCAAAACCCGAATCCCCAATAACATATTATATATACCTACTGCTAACACCGAATTAATAGATATATAACTTTTGTTAATTAACATGACCTAACATTTTGGTTATAATATAATGTTCTTCGATGATGAAGAATTACTGCCAGTGTATTAGTATAATAGTTATTATATGTATAGGTATGTACTAATTAAACATAGGAATCTACTGGTCACGCTCACACTAATAAACCTACTATTCAAATTTCAAATGTAGACTATATTTTAACTATATTAGTGTCGTGTAATTCCTACTTTAAACATAAAAGTACCTATAGGTAAATATAGGTTCAATATATGTAAATGTTGTACTTAAACATTGTATAATATGTATTTGTATTATACGTCATTTAAATTCGAGATATTTTTACCGGGTATAGCATAAACAACCACTAAACATTTAATGAATCAATAGTGAGTTAATAATGGTCCCTTAAACGTATAGTATGTATATTATAGATTATAATATTTATATGTGTTTTGTAAGCCCAAGGAATTTTTATTTTTTACAACTAAAACTTAAAATGATTTTGAGCCAAAGATGCGTATGTGTGTTTGTGGACTGAACCATCTATAGGTACCCTACGTTACTTAATTTGGTGCAACTGAATCAAATCCATCACACTGAAATTATAGTTATAATATAAAGTACTAATCACTTATCTGTATGAATGATGTACCCATACCTATCTGATGATAGAACTTTTAATATAAAAAGGTCAAGGTTAAAATTTATATTTAAAAAAACATTTGATTATTAATGTTAAAAATCATTAAAATTCAGTTATTCTTTGTAAAATTGTTAAATATGTACATTTTATATAGTACGTAATAAACGATTTTCTAATTATAAACACTAGCATTTTTAACACGGAAGGACGTCACAAAAACCGTTTTTTCATTTTTAATATCCACCTACTCATTTCATCCTAAATATATTCGCCACTTTATTTATATACCTACATTGAATTATTAAATAAAATAGTTAAAGTTAATAAATTAATGAATATTAATATCACTTTTTTTATTGATCTTCAGCCTGGCAACTATGGCCATTAGTAATTGTAGGGGGTACGGTCGTTCGTTCGGAACACGTGTATGTGTGACGAGGATTTGTCACTAAAACAGGGGGGTCACCCATCCAGGAATTAGAGACACCGGCCAACGTTTGCACTCAAATCACGTTTTGTGACTGAGGACAACCACCACGCCACACCAGATAACAGTATTATTTTATACCTATAAGTTCATTACATTTTATAAGTGACGTATTTAAGGATTAGGATTTTTTTGGGGTGGAAAGGCTGTTGTATTTACCCAGAGCTCAGTGACTCAAGAGTCGAGCAGGATAAGGGGTGGACACGGTTGAAGTTGACACGATTCATTGGCACTTGGCCGAGTAAATCGAAAACCTATTTTAATTATATTATAATTTAGAATATATACCTAACCGACTATATGCCTATAATATAATAAACCTCCCAAGTACGATGATCAATAATTTATATATTATAATAGTGGATTTTTTCTTTAGTCTTAGCATCGACATCAATAACTCTGGGATTTTAAACTCGTGAGCAGGTCTCGCGGCGTGCGTATGCGCGTTTGAACCCCTCTTGAATCTTAATCGGATCGCGTGTTATGTTACGATAGCTGAACGCCTGAACATAATAACAATAATGACGATTAATTGCACTCTACACGCGCAATAATGCAGACTGCAGGCAATTCCGAGCACACGATTGTCGATTAAACACGGAATTTTAAATGTTTTTTTAAACGAGCACAGGATACAGATATCTGATTATTACTGTGGTACATTTTATGGGCGATATTATATGATATAAATACTCTAGAGTATAATCTAATCTAGTCTACTTGCACCTAAAATTGATAAGAACCGGTAACTAGTGTCAGATTATAGTCCAGACGCAACTTGACCAACTTGACTTGTTATTTACGTAAATGAAAATCGCGTGATCTTGATTTATCTACCTAATAATTGAACTGCAATGCTAGGCAATAGTCATCATTACAATTATGTGTTGTCAGAGTTTAAGGTAAGATAATTTTGATCTACCAACGAAACGTAAGTACCTATACTTTCTTTTTTTTTTTAATAATAATATATCTAAATTAAAACTGAATAATGAAATAAAACAAAACTAATTTGAAACTGTAAACTATCTGTAATATTTTAATAATAAATAAATACATATTATTAAAAAAAAATAAGTAGGTACACACTGTCTACACTTCTTAGGTGTACCGACGCGTAATAATTTTCATAATAATATATGGCATAAGCGCAATATTGTATGTAAGTACACAAAGCGAACCGTATCGGAGCGTGTTCGCAAACGGAGAGCCAATCCGTCGCGGTGCATGGCATTACACTTTTTTTAATAGTTATTTATATATATATATATATATGTTAAAGGAATCAAAAACGGAACGCTTTCATCGAAATACGCGAGATAAAAGAAGACCATTATTGTTGTAGTAATATAAACAGAATAAAAAACACGACGATGAGTATATTATTATGACGCTACACCTATGTGTGTTTGCTGTATAGTAAATTACTATAGCCAAAAGTCGGTGGAGTGGATTATGTACCGCCTCGTAATAAAATATTATGCACATTTAATTGATTACACGTAGGAAATTGTACGAAGAACTAACAACGAATGTCTGTTTACGAGCTATACGACCCTATATATACTATATAGACGCACATAACGGTCGATAGTTTTCATAAAAATTCTGCGTCTGTACACGATTGGGCGACGATGGTTTAATATATCGAATATAATATTTGCAGCTTAGACTTCGTACACGACAACTTACTATATATAGGTACGTATAACGGGAGATTATTTTCGCGATCGATTTTTGTCGGGCCCAACGACGTTAAAGATGTTTCTTGTTTGACAAAAAAATAACACTCAGTAACGTGTGCATTTTTGAAAAAAATTTCTGGAGTAGGGAGGGCGTTTTTTGGAGTGATCGATTAAACTTTCTACCGAGATTTACAAACATTCATTACCTACCTATATTTAATATGTGATTAGATTAATTTTACGATTATTTTAATTTTCTCGTCTTGTATTGAATTTTTTTTATTTTGAATTATATGTAATATATAGTTGTATTATTATTTGTTGTTATCTATATAAATCTATCTAAATATCTATAATATTTCTGGCTGATCAAACGCATTTCGTTGCCCGTAAAAAATTATAACTTTTATTTAAAATAACTCCTTTTGGATGCAATACTTAGCCTCCCTGGTAGGCAATCCGACTACGTCAGATCGAGGAAAATGTGAGACAAAACATTAAGTAGGCAATGCACAAAAATTTGATTTGACGCATGCTTGCACCTGATCTGCCCGATTAACCAATTTGACCATTGGCAACCAAATAATATAATATACTAATTTCTACTAATTATTTCTCCTATGGCTATAACCAATAGCAACCGTTTATAAACAAAAATTTTCTGCCGTAAATCTCAAAATCGTCGTTTGAGCACCTCTCCGGGTTACACCTAGGAGGATGAAATATACTTTATGAGTTATGACCTATTCTCACACCTACCAAATAAACAACCACAAACACCGTGATACGAGATTTTTAGATATTAGATTAGTTACCTCAGCTAGCTATGTATTAATTAATAATAAATGATATAAAAATATTAAAAAGATAAAGAAAGTAATATTTACTATATGATTATTAACAATAATGTTATTCAATTTTACATCAATTGCGATAAAGTTTCAACTTTCATGTAGGTTATGTATATTAAAAAGAAAAAAAAATGTTTTTAAATACACATTATTACTCCAACCGACCTTAACGATTAGAGGTCATTCGATTATTAAAGGCTCTGTCAAACAGAACGCGTTAAAGCGGCAAATGGCTCGTCGGCGTAGTGCTTTCACGCGCGTGAATAACGCCGCGTTGTAACAGATTACAAGATCACGCGACGTGAAAATAACGCTTTCTGTTTGCCAGAGCCTCTAATAAAAAAAAATAACAAAAAAAAAAGCTCATTAATTGGAGACCAAAAACTAATGAGCTTCCTATTTTGAGGACAGAGCGGGGCAGTTAATAAACGAAAAACCGGTGAAGTTTCATCGACTTAAAGACGAAAATATAATATAAACTAACCTTTTGGATGCGGCCGGTTTGGTGGCCGGCCGTTTGCTCTCGTGCGTGGTCGGCAGCACGGCGTCGATGATGATGCTGGACGCGATGCTGCCCGTGCTGTCCTCTTTGACCATGGTTCGCCGGACGGGCGGGGCGGGCAGGGCGCCGAACCCCTCGCGCGGCTGCAGGTGGCCGTCCAGCTGCTGCACGTTGAACGCGACGACACTGGGCGTCGGCCGGCTGAACCGGTGGTAGGCCGTGGCCGCGGACGACTTGTGTTCCAGCGTCAGCCGGCTGGGCACCGTCGGCGGCTTGTCGCTAACGGATGGCGCCATGTACGACAGCATAATACAGTTGACGGGCATTCACCGCCGGCACCGTCGGCAGGTCGCTGCGGTGTGGTGGTGCGCGCGGCTGCGAGTCGTCGTCGGGACGTCGGGAAACCGTCGGCTGCAAACAGTCACCCAAACCACACGATGGTATTACAATATTTTAACTTTGCTTGCAGATATTGTATGTACAGGCACACATCGTGTACATGTACTATACGATTGTTGTACTATTATCAAACATATTTTCATATTATATCCGAACAACCGCGCGGTATAAATAGTATTAAGTGTTGTAGGTATATATACTGTACATAGGTATGTAAAAATATGCAATGTACAACTGTGACAAGTTGTGACATTACGTGGGCGTATCGTCTATCTGCTTACGAAAAATAACGGTGTAAGTTATTATTTTACATTATTACATTATGTAATAGGTATACATGACGTGAGTTGAGTACCTACTATATATACAATATACATACAGTATAATATAGTAATATTCGAAACAATTACTATAATATATATTATAGATGCATGATATAGGCGTAAGATATTATAATATATTATAGTAATATGATACGTAAAATATGTAAACCAACGTAATTGTATTTTGTTTCATTTAAAATTTTTTATACATTTTAATTTATTGGAAAAAATTGGAATTGAATATTTTCTATTTTTTTAGGTTCAAACAGCTGTGGAGCATAACTTGGTTACAGGTATACAGACTCCTATGTTTTAAACTAAGAATAGTAACGCGTAATAATTATACTATATAGTATATTATATATGAGCCCGACGCATCGTTCAGGTCATAATAATAAGTGGCATTTATAGGTGGGACGAGGGTCCATCTGGCGGATGCAAACATTTTATTTTGCTCCCCTTCCCTAAAAATCGAAAATAAATTTGTATGTTATTTGTGTTATGTAGGTATGATGCATTAGTTCTATAATAATATATATTTTTTGTTCTAAACTTCTAACTTAATTTAAAAACTTGGTAGACCATTATACAATATATATATATATTTTATATTTTTTATAAATTATTCACTCTTTATTATATCGGCACATGTAGACAAGTTTAAAAACAATCATTTCTCTATACTTGGTCATTTTTATTAATAACATTATCTATCACCAAAAAACCTGCAGTTATGCGTAGTAATTTTGCCTTTTTAGAAGTTGCCGAGAACCTAGATTAAAACCTATATAGGTATAGTTTAGCCAGTCAGTTTTAAATATTTACTACACCTATATTTAACAAATTATATTTTGTGCTTCGGACTCCAAACAAGTCTGTAATTATTAATAATTGTGGTGAAAATTGTTGGAAGTTGTTCACCACACATTTGAGTATTTGACATAATATATTTTTATGCCATGGAAATCAAGTGTTTCACGATTCATGTAATAACGTCATTACACCGTATAACTGTGTACTATCTATATACTATTATAGTTATATTTCAAATCATCATTGTACACGAGTTTTGTGAAATTTTCCGACAAACTCTATTAAGAATAGGTATTGTACATTAAGCGTATACCTACTACACAGTGCACGCACCTAATGATACAATTGCAGCTGAATATAATAAAAAACGACGACGACTAGCAATATATTATAGTACCTACACAAGATTATAAACCCATGAAGAATTATTAAACCTATACACAGGTATAAATGTATAATCTTACACGCATAATGGATCATGCCGATCACTGACAGTATAATATACTAGGTATATAAGTCTACGATACACTATATATATATATATATATCTTATGTGCACTGAAAACCATCCCTATACGAAAACGATCCTTCTCCTCGGATGTCTCGGTGGAGTTTCTAATCTTTCTTGTATACCTTAATGGCTTATATTGTAATACACCTCATGTACCTTATACGCTGCGAATTATTTCACATGAGCTTCTCAAATACGTCAAGCATATAACGAGTGATCGGTGTCCACGTATAAAGTCTGTGTGAGGAAATAATAAATCTCAGAACATATACATAGACACGTCAGCCACTGTTGAAACTTCTGACATAGTAAATTTATTATTATTTATTATTTGCTGAATTAGTATAGTTACACGCGAGGGCTGAACCCCGACGCGTGATTAACAGTTTCTGATAAATTGCCCATTACGATAGGGATCGACATCACGTATAATTCACCCCATAGTTTAGCTCCCAGTGGAAGTAAAAAAAATATTACAAAATCGTGTTTGACTGATGGAAGTATATATAATATATAAGTTTTATTTATACTGTTGACATGGTTGCAAAAGGCCTTGTTGCCTACTGAAATAGTCTATTTGCAAATAGGTCTACAAAATTAGTCTACTTCAAAAATCATTTTATTTAACCCTTACGCAAATGTTTCATCAAGGCTTAGGCTTATGTTGTATGTAAACAAACCTACATAGCAACCAGTTTTTTAATGAACACTTTTATTTTGTATTCGAAATGCATTAAAAAAATACAATATTCAGAATGAATATAGGTATATTTTAGAATAATATATAAGTATTTTTTTTTTTAAATAGTATCGGATTCTAATGAAAATAAAAATTGAAATACTTTACAAGTCTTATAGCAGCCATGATATAGTTTAGTTTAGGTATATCTTTTAAATTATTTTGAACTTCAATAAGTGTCTAATGAATAATAAAATAACAATATGTGTTTAGCCGATTATAGGTATATAGATTATAGGTACATAATATTATAATATACTATACAGTTCAAAATTATTTCAACGTAGAGTTGGACATTAATATTCACATATCTAACATTATCGAATTTAATTATGCTCAATAAAGATATCATTTCGACTGGTATTGGATATCACTTCAATATCATTCCGTTAGATATTTCAAACGATATCTATCCGATAATAATCGGTTTATTTTTTATACACATGAATTCGTTAAATATATGGCTGACTTAGTTTCTAGCTATTGCGTCCTAGAATTGGTTTTAAATTTTGTGTTCTCTCGTCTTCATTGTAGACCAGGTAGGTATCTGATTAAATAATATTCCGATACTCTGATAGTCTGATGTCCATATAATAGCCCATATATAATATAAACATTTTATTATACACAGCCAATTAGCATACTATGATGACCAATTCAATTTAAATTTTAAATTTTTTACACATTTTAACATTTTTAATATGGCAACTATTTTATCGATCGGCTGTTGGATAATAAAATAAAAAAGGTACCCATAATAATATGTATTGTGATACAAATACGATTATACCCACTATATTTCCACATGAGTATTTCTTGTATGTAAAAATATTAAACAAGTTCCATCCACTAAGTTCTCAACCATCGAGATCTGACACCGAACGAACACGAATACTATATTATATTATTGTGCACGCTTATTTTTTATACGATCGTATCTTTTACTCTACCTCATATAATTCTTTAATTGGACAATTCGACCACAATAATACATATACCTATACCTAATATATTGGACTGCACGGCTCGCCTACTCAATAATTATATTTGGTCACGTATGTGCGCCCATTATAGTGCTTATAATACACACAAGCACACACATACATATATAACTATAGTCTATAATATTATACCTATACCTATTTGCCCGTCCCAAGCCAATTGTCTCCTTTATTGTTTACCGGGTATAGGTACACTTTTCATGGTTCGCCAAGCACGAAATATTCCGAAATGTACACAATATTGTACATGTTTATGTGAACGAATGTATGTACGAATGAGTTAAAACATATTTCGAGTGTTCAACTTTTACTTGAAAAGTTTACTTTGGTACGTTTGTCTTTGCTGTAATAACACAGCACGACGGGATGTATTCGGAGGCGAAGAGAAATTATAAATTATGCAAAACCATAACTAACGATACGAATGTAAGATAACACGTTAAAGCATTGATCATAATAATATATAATTGTTTTAACTACCTACGTAATTCTGAGTTACATTTCACTTTCATTGTGCGAAAATTATCATAATATGAAAGGTCCTACACATTACTCATAGTAGTATTATATATACCGACCTACTGTTTACTTCCGTGTTGATATAATAATTACTAGAATACATCAACAATGTTTGTCATTCATTACGTTTATTATCATCGTATATGCAAAATAATCTATACATTTTAATCATCCTACCGTACCAATGGTTAGGTTTGGTTGTCGTTATAGGTAGGCGCAGAGTATTCCGAACTTGTATTAATGAACATAATATTCAAAATCAATAATTCGGACATACCTTAGAACGCATACAACGGAGACGGCTTAATTTCATAATTGTTCAACTGTAATGACTATTCGACACTCGTGATTTATAACCTTTTATGATTTCTCAAAATCCAAATCAACGCATAAATCATTAGTCATCGGATACGTATTCGCAATAATATGTACATAAGTACACAAGTAAATTGTAAGAAAATAATTTTATTTTTTACTAAACATCTATTTTAAACCACGCAATAATAAAATAAAATAAATGACTATTACATTATGATATAATAATCTACAAGATGTTTTTTATTTTTAATACATGTCCGATAAAAAAAAAATTGAACACATTCACGTTAACTTTGTCAGACTGTGTTAAAATAACTATATAAAATTCTACAATATATTATTATAATATGCAGACTGTAATCGCAAAAATTCGCTACAATTCCACTTGGACAAATCATTGAACATTAATTTGTCTGCACCGCTTTCAGATTAGGTACATATAAACATGTGAATATAGTGTAGGTTACATATTATAAACATTAAAACTGCATGTAATGTCATGAATTTGCAGTGTAATGTTTGCCTTACAATATAGTATAGTATAATCTACACTGTTGGTACCTACCTACGCATAATTCGTTGATTTTAAAAATTGTTTATTTTAATTATAGAGATGAGTCATTGCAAAATTAATGAGTTTTTCTACCCCAATTTATTATTATTCCTTCAACCCAGGAATGACGCCTGCATAAAAATGAGAAGC